AACATGCAAGTGACTAAGAGGTTTACAGCTAATATGCAGAAATACGTGGAACACCTAGAAATGAGAGACGAAAAAGATGCAAGAGAGGGAAATATTAGACAACTATATAACACAAAGAAGAAACATAAAGGGGAAAGTAGTAAACGAGAGAGACCAATCAATAGCAAAGGAGACAAGACAGTCACTGAGATTCGAGAACTTTGACTAACTATTGAATAGGCCAGATGAATTGAATCCACTAGACATCAAACCAACACACATAGACACTTCTATAGCTGTCAATCCGCTAACGGTCGAAGGAATCATAATGAGAATCAGACAAAGCAAGATAGAGAAAGCAGGAGGACTTGACAGCGTAGCAGCTGAAGCACTGAATTCAGACATCGAAGTAGCTGCAAACACACATCACCTTCTATTCAAGACGATTCGGGTGGAAGGACAAGTGCCAACGAACCGGAAAAGAAAGGAAATTTGAGCAAATGTGAAAACTACACAGGCACCACACTACTATCGGTTTCAAGGATGGTTTTCCACAGAGTGTTGTTGAACCGAATTAAGACGCCTCTTCATCAGTAGACCTCGACATACAAAAAACGAAAAACTAAGATCCACAAAGACAACACAGAGAACACAAACACAGTCGCATTTGATCAGGAAGCTGTAGAATATTCCATGTGTCTGTGAAGCATCGTCGATGAACAAAGAGGATTGAAAAAGCAAGAATAGCATTTCTTCAATTGAAGAACATATGGAACTCAAAACAACTCTCAATCAACATCAGTGCCAGAGTCTTCAGTACGAACGTCAAGACAGTTCTCCTGTACGGAGCTGAAACTTGGAGAACTAACACAACCATCATCAAAACAGTACAAGTATTTATAAACAATTGTCTAAACACGATACACAATATTCGTTGACCGGATACCATCAGCAACAGCTTATTGTCGCAGAGAACAAACCAGCTTCCAGCTGAGGAGGAAATTAGTAAAAGACGTTTGAATGGATAGGACATACATCACAGAAATCATCCGACTGCATCACAAGGCAAGTGCTAACTCGAAGTCCTGAAGTGAAACAGGGAAGAAAAAAGCTGAAGAACATACTGCATCGGGAATAGGAAGCAGATATGAAAAGGATGAATAGCGACTGGATGAACTGGAAAGGATTTCCCAGGATGGAGTTGGGTGGAGAATGCTGGTCAGCGGCCTGTGCTCCTACGTGAGGAATAACAGGAGTAAGTAAGAAGGCAAAGTAATACTATTCGTCCTTATAAGGTTTTTAATAAACATGCTAGGTCATTGAAACGTCTCTAAGCTTAAACTAAATCATTCAACAGCTCGGATCATATACACGTTGGACAACTAATGTTTGTCATAAAAATTTTGTAATAGCTCAGAAACATGGAAATGCTGAAACTCAGAAACTATAAATGTGGAACTAAAAATTATGATCAAGGTCATGATAAACGTCTTGTGTAGCCAAAGCAATACAAGATCAGTAGCTGAAATAAATTCAAAGAGGAAATGAGATAAGGAAAAATATAAACAAATAAGTAAGCGGAAAACAGTAGCAAGATACAAAGAGGAATACGAAAGAAAGTAAAAATATGACATCAAATAAAGAAATTAAGTATGAAAAATGTAGTATCTTTTGATCGAATTTATTCATTCATTCCGCACACACGAATACTTTGGTTTTCTTTCTAAACTTTCCATTGACGTCACTGTGATCACTGTTGGATACACACTCCCGAGAGCTCAGATTACTCGTAGTGAGGAAAAGTGAGATCACACCTAGTCCTTTACCGTTCTACTAACGGCTGTTTTAAGGTTCTTTTCTGCCTTGTTGTAGGGACCTCTAATTACACAAGGAACTCTGTATCGTAGACACTAAACAGGTCGCTTCTCATCCTATTATGACAATGAAAAGATAGCTTCAACTAATAAACTAGGTTGGTATGCAGTTCACCATTAAACACATAAGCCACCTCATTCCATGTCTTTATAGCTTTCTCGGGGTTTCACATTATTTTTTCAATAGAGGATCAACAACGAGATGGTGTGTTGCACAGATTAGCAAGACACTACTAGGAACTTATGATTTTCCTTTATATTTCCAAATACGTCATAAAAACTTAAAAATTACAGAAGCTAGACTGAAAACGTGAAATATCATGGTAAAGAATTGTGTTCGATGTAAGATATGTAGTAGAAATTTCCAGGTGTATACAAAATGTATTGTTCAATCTACGAAAAGATTAATGAATACAGTGGAAGTGATGTGGACGACTTACTTACTTACTTACTTTCGCCTGTTACTCCCAATGGAGCATAGGCCGCCGACCAGCTTTCTCCAACCCACTCTGTCCTGGACCTTCTTTTCTAGTTCTTTCCAGTTCTTGTTCATTCTTCTCATGTCTGTCTCTATTTCTCGGCGTAATGTGTTCTTTGGTCTTCCTCTTCTCCTTCGACCTTCAGGATTCCATGTGAGGGCTTGTCTTGTGACACAATTGGGTGATTTCCTCAAAGTGTGCCCAATCCACTTCCAGCGCTTCTTCCTGATTTCTTCCTCCGCTGGAATCTGGTTTGTTGTCTCCCACAGTAACTTGTTGCTGATAGTGTCTGGCCATCGGATCCGAAGTATCTTGCGTAGACAGCTGTTAATAAACACTTGTATCTTCTGGATAATGGCTTTCGTAGTTCTCCACGTCTCTGCGCCATACAGAAGAACTGTCTTGACATTTGTATTGAAAATTCTAACCTTGGTGTTGGTTGACAATTGTTTTGAGCTCCAGATGTTTTTCAACTGTAGGTATGCTGCTCTTGCTTTGCCGATCCGCGCCCTCACATCTGCATCTGATCCACCGTGTTCATCAATGATGCTGCCCAGATATGTAAAGATTTCCACATCCTCCAAAGCTTCTCCATCAAGTGTAATTGGATTGGTGCATATTGTATTGTATCGGAGAGTCTTGCTTTTCCCTTTGTTTATATTGAGACCTACTGCTGCTGAGGCTGCTGCTACACTGGTCGTTTTCTCCTGCATTTGTTGTTGCGTTTGTGATGGAAGAGCCAGATCATCCGCGAAGTCTAAATCGTCAAGCTGCATCCTGCCTGTCCACTGTATCCCGTGCATTCCTCCAGATGTTGACGTCTTCATAATCCAGTCGATGACCAGGAGAAAGAGAAAGGGTGAGAGTAGGCAACCTTGCCTACACCGGTCTTTACCTCGAACGAGTCGGTGAGTTGTCCTCCGTGGACGATTTGGCAGTTTAGTCCATCATAGGAGTTCCGTATGATGTTGACTATCTTCTCAGGCACGCCGTAGTGTCGAAGAAGCTTCCATAGTGTCGTCCTGTCCACGCTATCAAATGCCTTCTCGTAGTCGATGAAGTTGATGTACAGTGATGAATTCCATTCGATTGATTGTTCCACAATGATACGTAGAGTTGCGATTTGATCTGTGCACGATCTATCCTTACGAAATCCAGCTTGTTGATCTCGAAGTTGGGCGTCCACGGAATCCTTCATCCTGTTTAACAATACTCTGTTGAAGACTTTTCCTGGTATTGAGAGGAGAGTGATGCCCCTGTAGTTGTCGCACTTGCTCAGATCGCCTTTCTTTGGTATCTTGATCAGAAGTCCTTCTTTCCAGTCTGTTGGTACATGTTCTTCGTCCCAAATCTTACCGAAGAGGATGTGGAGTATCTTGGCAGTTGTTGTTACATTTGCTTTCAGTGCCTCTGCCGGGATGTTGTCTGGTCCCGCTGCTTTGCCACTCTTGATTTGTCTAATGGCCATGCTGATCTCTTCAATTGTTGGTGGGCCAATATCGATTGGGAGGTCTGTGGGTGCTGCTTCGATGTTGGGTGGGTTCAGTGGAGCTGGTCGATTCAAGAGTTCCTTGAAGTGTTCTACCCACCTGTTTCGTTGTTCTTCAATATCGTTGATTACTTTGCCTTCCTTGTTTTTCACTGGTCTTTCTGGTTGACGGTAATTTCCAGCAAGTTTCTTTGTTGTATCATACAGTTGTCTCATGTTTCCCTCTCTTGCAGCCTTTTCCGCTGTCATCGCTAAATCTTCCACATATTTACGTTTGTCGGTTCTGATGCTCCTCTTCACTTGCTTGTTTGCCTCTGTGTATTCGGCTTGTGCCTTGGCTTTTTCTGCTCTTGTTCGGCTGATATTGATTGCTACCTTCTTGTTCCTCCTTGCTTCAATTTTATCCAGTGTACCAACAGTGATCCATTCCTTGTGATGGTGCTTCTTTTGGCCCAGAACCTCCTGACATGTTGAAACGATTGCCTCCTTGATACCTTTCCAGCTGCTCTCTATGGTGGTTCCCTCTCCATTGAGTAGGTCATGAAAGGCCTCGAACCTGTTGCTGAGGGCTATGTTAAATTCGTTGAGTTTGTCAGCATCTCGAAGAAAGGCCGTGTTAAACTTTTGTGATGTTGTCCGCACCATTGTCCAGTGCTTCTTGAGTTTTAGTTTCATCTTGGCGACCAGCAAATGGTGATCGGATGCTATATCAGCTCCTCTTCTGGTTCTCACATCCTCCATCGTCCTCCTGAACTTTTTGTTGATGCAGACATGGTCGATTTGATTTTGTGTAGTGTGATCCGGTGAAATCCAAGTGGCGCTGTGGACGAACGTTAATTTATTGTATTGTAAATAAAATTAGTTGGATAAAAATTAACCGAGCATTTATAATTGAAAGTAAATTTCACAAGTAACCATGTAAAAGAAGACTTCTGGTTCTACTGCTCAACCAACCATCTTCTACTCCTGGCTGAAAAACTGTACGTAATTCTAATTAGTCATTCGAAAACAAGACGCATGCAAAAAGTATACAGAAAACAATAAAATGAGCCTCTGAATCCATGTCTTTAAATTGTAAGTGTGAAATATAATTTCTTTCGCCTTTGTTGTTTGAACCAAGCAATAGAGAAATTTCATTACTGGTCCTATTATGAATGCGTCCCTATAAGAGCTGTCCGAATGGATGATACCAAGATTATATACCACATAGATGACGAAGAAACTCCTTATTTGGTTAGAATTGCTGTATGCCCCAGCGCTGTTACCTTAGGGGACTTTAAAAATGCATTGAACCGGCCAAATTACAAATTTTTCTTCAAATCAGTCGATGCTGATTTTGGGTTTGTTCTTTGTAAAGAATAATCGTTATATTTCTTACTAAGAGTCGTGAAAGAAGAAATAGCGGATGATGATGCGAGACTACCATGTTTCAATGGGAAAGTTATTTCATGGGTACTCACATTCATATATTTTCATGTTTGTTAGCTTGTTTCTGCAGATAGCAGTACAAAATCAGATAACCATTCAACCGGCACAGGCGAGAATCACCTTTCCGGTCAAAATAAAAATTCTACAAAGTGAGTTGTTCAAAGTAAAACGATACTTGGCAAAGGACATCCAAATCTTCGGGTTTTGGGGAAATATTAAGGAAAACCTTAGTTTTCCACAAACATTTTGTATACTTTCTCCGAATAACATGGAGTTTTGTGGTTTTTGTTGCGTTTCTTTAAGATTTCCCATCTCAGCTTCTCCAAGATCTCCCCGAAATCGTGAGATTGGGATGTTTGTTGTTATTAGTAGGTGATATTTTCTTATTGAGGTTCAGTCCCTTGAATTAAAGATACGAAGTCTCGTAGATTTGCATTCCTAATTCTATCTTTTTGTTTCGAAGCTCCCTCAAAAATCGCAAGAGTAATGACTTGAGGATCAAATGTTGTGTTAAATTATATTATGTGTTTATATCCTCCTTGATAATATGTCAGGAGTTAGGGGTTGCAAAACATATGACGCAATATCATGTTAATAGTAAAGCGATTGGCTTGAATCGAATATTGATTAGGTAATTAAACGAACCTTTTAGTAGTTCGATTTAACGGATATAGTCAAGTCATGGAGTAGTCATGTGCCGGCTTTGGTTGCAGCAAATATATTACCCTCCCGATGTGCGAAAGTTTGATGTGAGAGCATGTTATGTAAAGCATGAGCATCTCCAACACTGATATGCTTATTACGTGCACAAAAATATTAATTACCAAGTGATAATAAATCTTTTGAGTGCCTGGCATTTTTTATCGCAGCTTGATGATGGTTGTAGCTAAACTTCTCAAAGCATATTATTAAACTAACTATGTAGAATAGCTTGCCATCAACAAAGCCTAACAATTCAACTGCTGTGTTTATTTTTGGGGAGAACAAATCCTCGAAGTATTTACTTTTTGTTTATGCTATATATATATAAACTTTCCGAGAATAAATGTCACAATCAATGTTGCTTTGGCAGTAATATTTCTGAAGCTGATTCCCCGACTTACGGGATTAGAACACTGTTTCTTTTTCCATAAGCGTTCATCTAAAGGTCAGTTGTTACGAGGTTCGATAACCTGAAACACTAAAAACATTATAATGACAGTAATCATTATATTTGACACAGGTTGGTTAATTGTTCTCACGAACATTGTAAGGCCGAAACTTGGGAGCACTATGTTTTACTGACGAAAATGAAGTGTTCTTATCAAATTTACAAAGACTCCCGTAGCATTCGCTTTTTTGATATGAAAAGATAACACATATTTCCCACTGCTGTTTAAGTGGTGAATAGTTCAGTGGGCCATCAATTACGTACACAAACAGTTTTTAAAGTTGGTATCCGGAAAATATAGAGATAGGTTTTTTCACCTCACATGTGTTACAGTCGTCGCTGTAAGATGTATACTGACTTCCAACAAGTTTTCATATTGTTTAATTTTTCTCTACTTACTGTTTTGTGGTCTGGACCGTGCCTTTACCTATTTTTTCACATAACATTCTAAGTGGTAAACCGTGAGCTAATAATAAGATCATTAGCGCGTTCCGTTTTTAGACTGCCTAAAAAGCCTATTTTAATATGAGTTGTTTTTTATTATTTTACTAGTGACTTGAGGTAGTACAAAAGTGTTTATTATTTCAACGAATGTATGTTCTGCATTATGTCATTCCTTCTAATTAAAAAATTATTTTATTTCAGCTTCAACAAAGCTTCTGACAATATACACAGTGCCTCAAAAAATGAAATCCCCAGCGAACAAGAACATGCCATTGGGACAACAGGGCATGGTCTTGAGGAATGTGATACTTGTGTCGAAACAGACTCAGTATATAGCGGTGGTCAGTGACGTAAAATTTCCATTTTCGTTTAATAATCTTGGTGATTTTCCATGTGTAATATTTATTTCTACTAGTTCTAGGAACTAGACTTTCGTTAAAGTGGTATCAGTTAATGTACTAGTCAGGTGTACCACCTCAAAAACCACTTAGCTAGGTTTCTTATCTTTATTCCTCTGTTTTTGGTCGGGTCTTAGTCAAATTGGTGTTGGCCCTTAGAGAAAGGTGTACATTTCAGTATGCATTGCAAATGTATCTTCCGGGATAAGGCGCTGTGTATTACATCTACCGATGTGTAATCGTCGACATCCCAGAATTTATTTCGCTTTTCCTAATTTAGTTATGTCAAATACACCTTGTGATATTTTTTCAAAAGTACAGAATTTATTTCTATTATCTACTGAGTCGAAGTACGAACTTATGTTTGAACTCCAAATACAATAAAGGTTGATATCAACCATGCTTTCTTATTTAAACTTGACTTCTGGGTATTTAACACGTGTTTTGTTGAGGGGTTCTCAATATTTCATGATATTTAAAAAGCTAATTTACCAATAAGTTTAAGCGTCCAATAAATTTTTAAAGCTAATTTCCTGTAAATGTGTTTAAACCTTACTTTTATTTTTAATAGATCGGGTTCCTCCTCTGAAAAATTTTCATAATTACAAGCATGGTAAGCGATAAAATTTTAGCCCAGGTTGTAATATAAGTGTTTCTGAATTCAATTTTCGTCCCATGGGAAATAGTCAGTGATAAGCCACTAAGTTTATATCTCAAAATAATGTGAATTATCACTCCAATTTTCGCCTGCTGATCATTAAAGCTAGTTCAGTTGTCCAAACTTCAAGTTTTCTCTTAAATTTATATAACTCATTGAGTTATCTGGGATCATGGATATTCACTTAAGTTAAATCTAAATAAGGTATGGCTTATTTGTGTGAATAGAACTGTTAGAAATTGTGCCACATGTTCTAGTGTCATTTCGTCTTCAGGTTGGTTAATGATGTAGCCTATATAGCCTTTATAGGATTCCTCGAAGTCTAAGATATGGATATGCAGTTACGTGGTAAGTTGCATATTCATTCATTCATATCATTGGCTATAAATAGTAAGCGCATACTTTTATTGTAAGAGTTTTATTTTAGTTGTCGACATTGTTGTGCGACTTAAAAAGGTCTGAAGATTCTTATCGGTCACAATTGTTATAATTTCGACAAAGTACGTCTAATAGTCTATGAAAGTATCGTTGTTGAGCATAATCTAATTTTAGTTATAAAAATACCTATAAAATTAGAAGCTTTATAAATCTGTCATGATATTTGGTATCTTTGAGACAAAGCTTTATTTTAAAAAGCATCATTTCTTCCCAGGTTCACGCTTGGCTAAACTTGGTCAAAGAATTCAAAATTATGAAACTTCTTCATCTATGATGAGTTCAGATCTGGAATCCACAAGCTTTTTCGATTCAGAAGACGAATCAAGCAGGTATGTCAGCTCAATTAAAAGGGGAGTTCGGTTTTTTACAAACAGAAACAACTTCACTAGATCTCTAGCTAAGCACTAAATACACCTTTTCATTACGGTTGAAAAACATTTCCCGGGAAATTACTTCGGCATATTTTCCCGAACAAGATTCAAACTCCTAGTTAGTCTTATTATTATTCTACATTATACTACTCACTATCGGAAGATACGCTTAATCTAGTGAAAGTTCTTAACTCAGGATGAAGATTGTTGTCGTTTATTGTTCTTTGAGTTTTCCAATTGTTTGGATCCCATCAGATTAGCCCAGAAAAGTAGTCAGTTATTTCTAGTTTTTGCAAATATATGGGCGGAATCTTCCCTCATTACTGGGCACGAGTTTTTGCAACTAGGATCTTTCTTATTCATTGATTTGTTGACCTTGATTTTTGTTTTATACAGGAGAAATAGGTCTCGTTAGTGATAATGGGTAGTCTTCGTCATTTACATAATGGCAGTTTATAGGTTCCAACAATCTTTTCCTCTGTTTCTTAGGTGGAATTCTTTAAGCAGCGTTCATACCCTACAACTGTATCTTTTAAAAGGCATCTCATCCAAATACTATCATTTTTAAGGATTTGCGGGTTTTTGAATCCTCTTGTTATGTTTTTTATATCATCTTCCGTAGAAATCGTGATTATAAACTTCTATCTACATTTAGATCAGTGACGCTAGTTGATCGCTAACTCAAAAACTCGATGTATCCGACAACTCGGTTAATCGAACGGATGGTGCGTCTGGCTTGTTGTTGGTTTTGTAGTATATATTTATTTTTCCTACGTGTATCATTGTAACTTTTGTTTTGTAGAAATATCTTCTAGCTGTTTCATTGTTTTTTATTACTTCCATATAAAATATGCTAGAAGCTAACGGGATTCTTCTAGATGTTCTCAATATGTTGAATAAATGATGTTTTTCGGATGTTAACGTGAATTTTGTTTTTCCTGTCAGTAATTAAATGATAAAGATAACTGGAATAATCATTAACCATGAATATTTCATAAATGTTGTTCCTTTAACTCAAGCAAAGTGACCATACAAGCTTTACACGACTGTTTTTTATAAGCTGTTGAGTTGTTACTATTGTGCTTCAGTTATGGTCTGCTCATGCCTTATCTTTATATGTACTGAAGTTCATAAGTTTCCATCATGTTTTCTGCTAGAAAAGAGATTTAAGAACGCTATCACATCGTAGTACTCTACTTTTGTGTACTGAAATGAGTTTAAGAAGTATCTTTGACATATTCGGATCAAATTTTAGGTTTAGTAATTGCAGTTATTATGAATTCGAACATTCATATCAATATGATGTAGAATGAATGAAGTGTGACTAGGAGTGAAATCCAAAATACCGGTTTCGTTCTACTTCAGACTTCTCAGCTGGTCGAATTTCACTCAAAAATATCAAAAACAGGATAATCTTAACCATCTAAAATTTAGTTGATACCCAATAATTGTTCTGTTACTGACAAACCCATAGTACTTCGTTTATTCATCATTTTTGAATCAAAAACTGGTTAGTTCCCTTAAATTTCGTATGTTTCTGAACATTTTGGTCGTCGTTCAGATTACCTGTTTTTTCTTTCACCATATTATTGATATCAGTGTGCAAAAAGGCAGTTACATTAAATGGTATATTTTTACTGTCACTATTTGAGATATTCTGATACCAAAGCAAAATTTTTTAATGGACTGTATGGATTATTATCGACAACTGTGTATGTTGAGATTTCCTCACGATTCTTTCGATCAGTTGAATTATAACATCTCCGTCTTTGATATTATTTGACGCGGCGTAATATGTTTCTCATCCAGTAGTTGACAGTAATGTTTTGCTAGATTTAACCCACTTATGTTTTAACTACTAATTTCCTCGATCCAGTTTAAGTCTAACTATTTTGATGTTTGATTACATTTCAACTCAATTCACCAATAAGTTCATAATTCATTAATTCTTATCTTCTTTGTCGTTTCCTGTTCTATTTAAAGTGGCTGTTCTTTTCTTGTCTGCCTCCTCTCAACACCAGTGATCTTACTTTTCTTTGATGTAGATTTGATAGTTTGAACTTCCATTGAATATGATTAAAATGTAAATCATTGGAATCTCCACCTTATATAATACCAATTCTAAAATTGGTATTATCAAAACGTAAATATTATAAGATACAAATATTCTTCATTAATTTTTCAACTTAAAATCAATGGCTTATGCGAAGTGTTATTTAAAAATTTTTCCGATTTTATTTAGTCACTGTAGCGCAATGCTTGTATTGTTTAATGATTCATCAGTCAGTCAGCTACAACGTAGTTTTGTCATATTGTAGTTTTCATTTTTGTTTTTCGAAATTTTTCTGTGTAGATTTTCAACAGCAACAGGTACAACTATGTCTTCGGCAAAATATCCAAGACATAGAAGACAACGAAGACACAGACGAATTCTTCCAATAAGACGTACCAGTGAAGATGTAAGTTTCATAGTTTTGTCAAACTAAGTTTGTATTTGAACTACATATAGACAAAATAGCTGTTTCGTCATTCCAGTTTCCCCTTTACACCGAACCTCCTAGTCTTGAAGAACTTGAAGAACAGCACTGTTCATTAAATTATTGCTAGACTTTTTGATTAAGTTAAGGCTTTCTTTACTCACCCCATTCAATAAGTAGTACCTTTTTTTAAGGTAAATAAAGTGTTAAATAATCGTGTCACTGAAAACTAACTACTTTTTGTTCATTGGTCTAGTTTATTCCCTTTTACAACCGTATGCATCACCTAATTGAAGCTTACTTAAAATATTCATCAAATGCAACTCAAGTACATTAATCATTAGTACGTAAATACGAAAGTGAGGAAAATTGGAATTATCGCAAGTGAGGCTAATATAAGTATCTCTGTATTACTGGAAAAAATACAGGTAGATAATCAACTTAAATTGATTGACAACCCGTTGATTCATGTGAATAGTATCTTGAAACTACCTACAGTTTCTGTTTCAGAGACACAATCACAGTGATCATCCTCCAAACCCTTTACGTTTTCACATTTCACTGTATAACGAAGTCAATCAATAACAGATAGTGGTAGTGATACCATGAAGTCTTCTAATGTTAATTAATAGTTAATTAATTTGCCATGCAATACATATGCAGAAAATTGTTTACCATCATTATCATATTCGATTTTGTTCTTTCATATTTCTATCTGATGAATGAATGTATATTTATAGATTGTCTGTCATTTCTGTCATTCCAAAAATATTTATGTCATTTCTAGATACATTTTTCTCTTGTTTCTCTGCTGTATTCTACAGTTTTATTTTTCATTAATCAGAAATCTTTAAAAAATGTCATAGAATTTGTTTTTATTTCCTATTGTTGAAACTTATTTTTATGTAGATCCATCGTCTTCTATTACTGACATTTCAATAATATGTAAATATGTCATTCATTTACATCTCGACATTTTCTATTTCTGATCGATAATCTTACAGTTAGTGTTCCATTTGTATATAAATGTATGTATAATACAGGTAGATTTGAAAGATTTTAACGTACTAAAAACGTTTTTCTCTTTTATCTTGATTAAAGTGACTTCAATTAAGATATATTTCATGTACATTAAATCATTATTGTTGGTAAATAGAGATTATAATGAAGAATGGAATTTTAAGAGAACAATGTGTTCAGTAAACGCAAAACAAAGATGCTACAACTTGACTCGAGCTAACCGCTCTTATGATTTACTAATATACCATTTTACCAATATCTAAGTCATGAAGTTTATTTTCTGATTTGATTTATGTTAGACAGGAATTATATTTAGCGCAAGTGTCACTCCCATTATATTTCTTGAGTTTCCAAGTAAAATTCTCTTGTAACAGAGTTCAATAAATAATCTTTCATCAAATATATTAGTTAAAAATTAAGTTTCTTCACTCTTATGCATACATTTTTACTACTTACCAGCAAATACCTTTATCTGAATAAGACTGTGTATCATTTCAAACTTAAAATATAACCAGTAATGGTGTAAAACAGCTACTGTTTGAAATAAAAGAAACATCTACAGTTTGTATTCAACTGTACTATAGCTGTTGTGTGTGTCTACATGAACTAGTTCTATGCATACACTGCTCTATCAATCTCAGTTTTTACTTTGGTATCTTGTTTTGGCATGTTTCCTATCGATTCACATAATAATGTTTTAATTTTTCAAAAAAAGTAAATGAATTACTGAATAATTATTTTATACTAAAAATAGTGACCTCCATTAATGAACACAATAGCCACAGAAATATCAACGTCACAGTCATGTATAATTGAGTGGGTCTTCGCACACACACATACACAAGGCTAATGACTATTAAGTGAAAGAATAGAATTTCTTTTTTTCCTGATTTTTCGAATGACAATGTACGATTTTTAATCATTTCAATAGAAGTCTTATATGCTGAACATGAAAGTATTTTTAAAAATCTACTTTTAAAAGTTCTCGATATATATTTCTTGTTAGTATGGGAATTTGTGGGATTGTAGTATTTTAACGGTTGAATTCACGAGTCGATCTAGGCTAGATCACCATTGAAAACCTGGAAGCACTGGACAACCGAAGGTCTTGGGTTTGAGATCCGCGTGTGGGATCGTGGGTGCTCACTGCTGAGGAGTCCTATTCTAGGCTGAAACGGCCGTCCAGTGCTCCCAGGTTTTGATTGGTGGTCTAGCTTAGATTGACTCGTGAATTCAACTATTTCTTGTTAGTTGCCAACTGTTTATTGATGATACTTCTACTTAAGATGAACTAGTTGAGGATTTAACAAAAAAAACGTTGAATGTTTTGTACTTTGAGCTACTCAAGTAACGGTTTATGTTAAATACACTCAGAAATAGGGTTTACATGCCGCTCATTTTTTGCTTTAAAAAATATGTGTCCAATACTTTTGTAAGCAGTTTATTCGGTCGTACGAAAATCAAGGTCAGTTAAAACTGACTACTTTTTCGTAAATAATGACTCATATTTGTAAAAGTACAATCGATTGAAGCATGCAGGTAACAGATACCGTATTTGTGACTTGCACTAAAATGGCATGAACCGTTAAGTTTTTAGTGTTAAAATATAAACTATAATCTGAACGTCTTATGTCTGTTAATGTCTTATCTTATTATTTCGATGAGTAATATCCTAGAGGAATTAGTAAAATCTATGGGACTTAAATTTTATTTGAGTTTTTACATAGCTACTTATTGCTTTTCTCCCTATTTATATGGTATGAATAGTAATTGTTATAGTATGATCAATCATTACTTTAAAATTGTTGACATTGCTATGCATATTAAACATATTATTGTAAGTATTTAAACAACTAAGAATGTATCAACTTAAAAATGACATTTTGAAAAATATGTTTGCAGTCTATATATTTTCATTATTTACTTGTGTTATCTGCCCTATCACGTAATATGTCCAGCTTCCGGATGATTAATCTTACTAGATTTGTATCATTTACGTCTAGTTCGACATTTTTTCCTTTGGGGAAGCTGTCTAGATGTTTTTCTCTATGCTGATTTATGGATAGAATTTTATCCTATCGTGACGTCCACTGTTAGTGTAATTTTGTTTCAAATAGAGAACCAGATAGTCAAAATATTTGGTCACACCTATTTGTGTTTTTTTCCTACTGGAAAGAGAAGAACTAGATTTTATGAGTAAACTAACTTCAGTTTTCTATTTCCTTAATTTTAATCGGGTATAGACTATTTGAAATATCGACTTTCTAGGATAATTCAGTAAAACAATATACCTTAACTGTAAAATTGATGAAATGATAACTCAGAAATGTCTATGGATTACGTTGGTCAGGTCAGAAAATCCAGAAAGGAAAGCTACATACGGTTACGGACATTGTGTTGTGCGTTATCTGATTCGGATACTCATATACAAGCTTCTAATACACAAACCCAACCAGCTACTTGAATGAGAAGGAAAGTTTACTGGTTTACCTGAATCAAAAGATATTTGAATAAGAAAGAGAGAATTCAGCGAAGAAAATTTTCTTTTCGACGAAATCATTTACTTGAGCTGTACATTCGTATATATAGTTATATGGAATATATATGTCTACAGGAGGCTAGGCAAGATTGTATTATAAATTGATTCGACAATATATAACAAATGAGTTTACGTGCTAATCAAGGGGTAAGGAAGAAAATAATTTATGGGTCAGATAGTGCACTCATTTATATATATATATATATATATATATATATATATATACTATGTTCTCATTATTAATTTGATTTGATTACCATCTATTGCCGAATTTTTCCTTAGATATTATAATGATAAATCTCACGAAGCTCGGTTTCATTATTTTCCTCTTTTCATTCAATTTAGGCTACTTCTTTTAGCAGTGTAACCGATTCCACAATGTCTCTCAATATAATTACCGTAACTTTGAACATGGATTCAGTGAATTTTCTTGGAATAAGTATTGTGGGTCAATCTAATAAAGCAGGAGATGGTGGAATCTATGTGGGATCTATTATGCGTGGTGGAGCTGTTGCACAAGATGGTCGAATAGAACCTGGAGATATGATACTAGAAGTAAATAGAATCAGCTTCGAAGATATGAGTAATGATGAAGCTGTAAGAGTTTTACGTGAGGAAGTTCAAAAACCTGGGTAATTCACGGTGTACTTACTATTTGTCCAGTTATATATTATTTATTCTTATTTTCTCACCAAACTTCTAAAAGTAAACTTCATTTCAAAAGAATCATAATAAGGCAAATACCACAACAATGAATGATCATCATAGTTTGCTTGTAGGAGTTCAAGTTTTTGCATCATAAACTGATATTTGGTGATTAACCACTTGCTAAAGAAATCATAGGTTATCCACTTTTTGTCAATACATGTTAATTTATATGTGATAACGATAACTACGAGTGCAATTTTTTCTAAATCATATTTTCGCATGACTTTCGCTTTTTTCTGATTGTAGAGACATGCTTTTGTTAGCCTATATATACGGAATTTTACTATTTTATCTGCCTAATCATCACGTTTTCCGGCATTCTCACCTTGTATTCCTTCGTAATCGTGGATTATTGTTGAAGTATAGTGTATCAGTTGTCTTTCTCTCGAGTCCGCCATTGAACATATTCGTAGTAGAATAAGCTCTATTTTTTTCCAATTTTAACGATTACCATTGGACCATACCAAACTTCAGTCTCAAGATATAACACCATAAAAGGCCAAGTAGCATTATATGTCAATGTTCATGAAATTGGTAATATAGCGTAACTGTTTTTTCTTCTGTGTCATTAGTATCACTCTGAATTTAGTGAATTAGTTCTAAACCTGTCAATCAAGTTAAATTTCATCTTGACCAAGTGGTATTGGCGTTTTTTATTCATAGATAGAAATTTCAACTGATCGATCAAAGTTTATTTTATGTATGTGATTCATATTATCTACGTTTTACGTCTTTTTTTCTATCATGTGTAGCAGTGCAGTTGTTATGTTAGCTTCACCTAACCGTTCATAAACAAATAATGGTGATCAGTTTACGTTTGCATACAAGGTTTTCTTCTATTCTTTCAGACACTAAATTTCTTCTGTATCTATTGTGTAATTTACTTTATATATATATAGTCGAAGTGAATTACACAATACGTATATATTACAAACACGTTACTCTTATTACTACTGAATCATAGTTTAAGTGTAACTAGTTAAAACATGTAAAGTGATCTCCTCAATATATTAGCTTTTTCTAAAATTTAACTTTAATATAATTACTATAAAAACTGTGAATTAAATATAGTTTCATCAAAAAGAGACAATCTGAATCAATCAACAGTAATCGGAAGTGCATACTAATAAGTGATTACGAGTAACAGTCATACTTAGAAGAAGAGTACATTTTCCATTGTTTGATAAGTAAACCAGAATAGGCCACAAGAAGACTAGGTTGATTCAGAATGGTGGGCGTTCAAACTAATATATGATTGGGCAGTTTAATTATAAATAATAATCAATCTTAAATCAGGAAATATATTATTCCTAATTAATGTCTTACATCAACTCGGTGCTCAAATACTGTGAAACTATTCGCTCTAATTTAGACGAAAGTTCTCATACAATCTTAAATCGTTATCGTTTTATGATCAGAAAAACAACTGTAATGAAATAAATTCTTTCTTGTAATTCAATAATCAAGTACAGAATCATATATTTGCTGTTGTGTGATATCTAGTGATATTACTCAGTTGGTCAAAAGTGAATATGTAGGGGGACTTCAAGCTGCGACTCAGCAGTTGAATTTCAAATAATTCATAAACCACTAGACCACCAAATTCTGTGGTTAATCATCAATTAAATTAGCTCCTAACAGGGACACTTACCAACCATAATCTTTCTCTGTCTTCCAGTATGGCAAAGTCAACTACTTACCGTTTAGTATGAAATTATACCATCATCCCGGTATTAATTTGCTTTTATTTGTCAAGCGGCTGAGGAATCAAGCCGTTGTAAAAAATCCAGCTTGTTACAGTAAAACACTGTGAAACGAATTTATTCTATGAATTTTTTACACATATATTTTTCATCTCAAGTTATGTTGACACAAAATCAAAAGTATTTTTTTAAGTCGATACTTTTTATGTCCGAACCTTTACTTTTATTATTGACAGTTGAATAATCGGGTAGTTTAGTTACTGATATTAAGATAAACTAATAATTTTACCAGTGTTTCCAGGTTTTCCATGGTGGTCTAGCTTCAATTGACTCACGCTTTCAACAATGATAAATACTAAATCTCCACAAAACCCCTTCTATAATTAGATATATGTTATAATGTTGCTGGCTTCAAAATGGTTGTCCGATTAAAATCAGTTCATAAGGTTGTGAGCTATGAAAATTTTATTATTTCCACAAAACCTGTATATTAATAGTAACTGTAGCTCAAATAAAAATCCCTTTTAAAAACAACGTTTAGTCAATCAGTCAACTACAAGGTAGGACCAGGCACATATATGCATCAGTCCAAGTTGTCACACCTCATTAGCACAAGATGAACATCAAGTGCATAGAAGTAGTTACTTCAATGGTAGTAATGTATAATAGAATGATTGCATATAAGGATATAATACAAGAAGAAATAACTAGTTCGTAGAAAGAAAGGTACATAGTAATTTTAATCTCATGGTTTAAGGGAAGACAATGAATGTATACACCTTTGCCATTGTGATCGATTCTGAGCCATATCACTCAGTCTCCAAACATTGGTTACGATAGTCGCGCGGACCCCGACCAAGTAGACTGCACCTATCAACATGGTTCAGATGAAAGGTTAGGGACTTCAAGGACTGATGCCATGTTTTGGTTTAGCCGCCCCTAACTTTCTTCCAACCATCTCCAACACTAGTCAGCGTTGTGCGTTGTGGTAATCGGTGTTCAGGCATACAACAAGGGTACGTAAATATGTGGGGGTGTGTGACAAAATACGTTGTTGGAATCCACAGAATTGTCGTAGCCTGTGGTTGGGAACCTTAGGTCATATACCCCGAAACCGGTTACTGTCCACCATTTGCAGTCATGTTTTGTCTTCTGCAAAATATTAAACTTAGTGTCATTTCACACTGTTATTTATTTTTAAATCTCATTTGTTGATTCTAAACTTGATTTATTGTAATCATGTTTCTTGTATGTTGTTGTTTCAAACCTGTTGGATACCTGTTACGCTACGTAAAACTAATGAACAAAATTACTCGTATTTTGGAAAATGGAAAAGCTACTTAGTGCTGGGGTATTCATTTACTCTAAAAATGTTAAAAGAATCTGAAAATATCACACATCTTAATCTTTACTTCAAATTTTTATATGTAAACGCATCTACTGCAGTAAATATTTATAAGCTTTCTTTGAGCAACTTTTTCGTACCTGGCTAAAAGATGAGTAAATGAGGGTCATAAATTTTACTGAAGAAGCTAGCACTCTTAAATTTCTTTTTTTTAAGTGTTATACAATAAATTTTGGAAACCGATTATGAGCTATTAAAGTGTATTAAATTCTTGTATGTTTTTGATAGTTTTGAGTTCTCTGAGCGCTTAATAGGGTGTCCAAAACAACATTGAAAGCTCTGGAATTAAAAAGGTTTGTTCGGAGAGCTTAACACTACCATAAACATTCACCTGAAGTACACATTTTCCCCATGCATCTGTCTGCTTTTACACTTTGTCAAACAGTTTTAAGCTATTTCCATCTTACACATAACTTTAGTATTCAGTTACCTTGGGCTACCTTCTGGAGGTATTTTCAGAAATCTGTGATCTATTCAAGTGAACAAAATCCTTAAGTACTTCCTGTTCACAACTACACAAACTAAAATATATCACTTTATTTTTTATTTCGTAGTCCTATCACTTTAGTGGTTGCAAAATGTTGGGATCCCAGTCCAAAGAACTACTTCACAATTCCTCGTCAAGAACCGGTTCGTCCGATTGATCCTCGGGCTTGGGTCTTACATACAAATGCGATGACTGGAGCACTTGGAACACCCGGATTTGATGGAAATACACCTTTTTTTGGTTCCGGATCACCTGCTGCTGGAATGGCAATGATTCCTGGTGAGAAATGTTCTGTTGCTTTATCTTTCATTAGTAGTATTTTGTTTCAGCAATCATTTTATGTTTTCACGAATGGGTACATAAAAAAGTTAATCCTGTTCTTTTGATTTAGTGTAATCTAATCTTTTGTCGAGTCACTCTGAAGGCAACCAATTTGTTTAGTTAAGGATACAGATAGTGGCCATACGGCGATAACTGCAATCACCATGCACAATAGCTCTACTTCAAAAGACTGATCTTGCTAAAAAGATTTGTCGGACAAAGTCAAAGAGGATTGAATCTACATTCAAGTTCATTGAGCTGTACATCATTTCGTTGATTACAAGATCGTGGTGAAATAATAAATACAGGAAAATTCATTGGAAGTCAAACAGCCAACTAAAACTGATATTGGACTAAAAGTAAAGGTATCAAAATTACGAAAACGAGTTAAAATTGATTGAATAAAAATCACCACAAATAGATATACGAAATTATGGTTGAATTTGTTTCTCATGTTTTGAATATCTGCATATAGTATCCCCAACAATCAGACCTGAACCTCAACTAGCGATTACTTACTTACTTACGCCTGTTACCCCTCGTCAAGGAGCATAGGCCGCTTACCAGCATTCTCCATCCAACCCTATCCTAAGCCTTCCTTTCCAGTTCTTTCCAGTTCCTATTCATCCTTTTCATATCTGCTTCTATTTCCCGGCGTAGTGTGTTCTTTGGCCTTCCCCTTTTCCGCTTCCCTTCCGGATTCCAAGTTAGGGATTGAGTCGTGATGCACATTGGTGATTTTCTTAATGTATGTCCGATCCACTTCCAACGTCTTTTCCTAATTTCCTCTTCAGCTGGAAGTTGGTCTGTCCTCTCCCATAAAACGCTGTTGCTGATAGTATCCGGCCAATGGATGTTGAGTATTTTGCGTAGACAACTATTTATAAATACTTGTACCTTCCTGATGATGGCCGTAGTAGTTCTCCACGTTTCAGCTCCATACAGTAGGACTGTCTTGACGTTCGTATTAAAGATTCTGACCTTGAAATTGGTTGAGAGTTGTTTTGAGTTCCATATGTTCTTCAGTTGTAGAAATGCTGACCTTGCTTTTCCAATCCTCGCCTTTACATCTGCATCCGATCCTCCTTGTTTATCAACGATGCTCCCCAGGTACTTGAATGTTTCCACCTCTTCCAGAGTTTCGCCATCAAGTGTGATTGGGTTGGTGTTCTCCGTGTTGCATTTAAGAATCTTGCTTTTTCCTTTGTGAATGTGGAGGACTATCGACGTGGAGGCTGCTGCTACATTTGCGGTCTTCATCTGCATTTGTTCGTGTGTATGAGAGAGGAGGGCTAGGTCATCTGCGAAGTCCAAATCATCTAATTGATTCTGAGAAGTCCATTGTATTCCGTATTTCCCGTCAGATGTTGAATTCTTCGTAATCCAGTCAATCACTAGAAGGAAGAGGAATGGGGAGAGTAGACAGCCTTGTCTGACTCCAGTCCTTACTGGAAATGCATCTGTCAGCTGTCCTCCATGCACCACTTTGCACTGTAGTCCATCGTATGAGTTTTGGATAATGTTGGCAATCTTTTCAGGAACTCCATAGTGTCGAAGAAGTTTCCATAATGTCCTCCTATCCACGCTGTCAAACGCCTTCTCATAGTCGATGAAGTTGACATGTAGTGATGAGTTCCACTCAACTGATTGTTCAACGATGATCCGTAGTGTCGCAATCTGGTCTGTGCACGACCTATCCTTACGGAATCCAGCCTGAGGATCCCTAAGTTCGGCGTCTACTGCGTCTTTCATCTGATTCAGCAGCACTCTGTTGAAAACTTTTCTTGGTACTGATAACAAACTGATGCCTCTGTAGTTCTCGCATTTGCTCAGATCTCCTTTCTTTGGTATCTTGATGAGATATCCTTCTTTCCAGTCCGTTGGCACTTGTTCCTCTTCCCAAATCTTCTTGAATAGAAGGTGAAGCATGTTTGCAGTTATTTCAATGTCTGACTTCAGTGCTTCTGCTGGTATATTGTCAGGTCCTGCCGCCTTCCCACTTTTGATTTGTCTGATGGCCATCTTGACTTCTTCGATCGTTGGTGGAGTGACATCTATTGAAAGGTCAGTGTGGGCTGCTTCGATGTTCGGTGGGTTCAATGGGGCTGGTCTATTCAGCAGTTCCTCGAAGTATTCTGCCCATCTTGTCCTCTGTTCTTGAATCTCAGTGATTGTCTTTCCTTCTTTGTCCTTGACTGGTCTCTCTGGTTGGCTATATCTTCCTGCCAATTTCTTCGTTGTATCATATAGTTGTCTCATATTCCCTTCTCTTGCAGCTTTTTCCGCCGTCGTTGCTAGTTCTCCCATGTATTTCTGCTTGTAGGCTTTAATGCTTTTCTTCACTTCTCTGTTTGCTTCTGCGTAGTCTGCTTGTGCTTCGACTTTCTCTGGTCGTGTTCGGCTGTTGTTAATTGCTAGTTTCTTGTTCTTCCTTTCTTGAATTTTGTCCAGGGTTCCCATAGAGATCCATTCCTTGTGATGATGCTTCTTAGGACCAAGAACCTCCTGACACGTTGAAGTTAATGCTTCTTTTATCCCTTTCCAGTTGTCCTCCAAAGTAGTTTCTTGTCCATCCAGTAGATCCTGTAGAGCTTGGAACCTGTTGTTGAGAGTTATTTTGAATTCATTGAGCTTGTCAATATCTCGAAGAAAGGCTGTATTAAACCTTTGTAGTGCTGTTTGTCCAGTTGTCCAGTGTTTCTTTAGCTTCAGTCTCATCTTGACCACAACTAGCGATGACCAACCTCAAAATCGTGGATAAAAAAATCAGGTAGAGACAGATATATACCTCAGACAATGGAAGTTGGTCGCGCAATTTAGTGGATTGATTGGAGTTAGACGTAAGCACCGTCGAATGCTGTCTCAGTTGTTAAGCGTTCGCACGCATGACCGAAGGTCCTGGATTTAAATCCTGTATGCGGGATCGTGGGTGCTCACTACTGAAGACGAAACGGCTGTTCAGTGCTTCCAGGTTTTCTATGGTAGTCTCTCGTTGATCGATTCGTGATCTCGGTAAAAAAATCACAATCTATGCGGTCACACTAGTAAAATGATTACTGGCGACAACATTATACATTTCATATCGATAAGTCAAATTATTAGCCATATGTTTGGGAAATTTAATAGCCGTCGCTTAGATGAACATTGGAAGACACTCGGTCAACCCACCATATCACTAAAATCCTTCTTCTGAGCTGCAAACCACCGTCTGCTTCCTCAGTTTACTAATTATTAGTCTATATTTCCTTCGTAGGTGTTTGTGTTCGAGTTCTCAACATCTAATCTTTTCATCATGTTTTCATCTATCAATTTACATTTTAGGGCATTTTATGGGCATGACTCCATCCTCTGGTTTGTCCGTACCATCTATGCCTCCTGGTATGCCTCCTTTAATTTTACCACCTTCAATGGCTGGAATCAATGCAATACCTTCATCTAATATGACTACGAAATCATTACCGGAAGTTGCTGACGGTGATGGTGGTGGGTATCATCGCAGTAGAGGTCCAGCAAGTAGTGGAGTTGTTGGTGGGCCAGGTAGTACGAAAACTAACGGTTCCCGATCAGGAGGTGAGACAACTGTCGATGCTAAAGGTACTCAGTCACTTCTGTCCGGTGCAAATGGCAAATCATCCACATCATTAACTGTAGCTTCTGATATGGCTTCTGTAGTTCATGACATGTTGATGTCTGATTCTGGTCTAGAAATACGTGATCGAACGTGGCTGAAAATAACCATTCCAAATGCTTTTATTGGTGAGTTTCATTCACTTATTTTTGAATTATTTACACTATTACATAGATTTATTTGTCTGCAATACTTGAAGGTTTGTAGATATTGGGATATTTTTTGGTGTTTAGTTTGTATTCAAATTCATGTCTACTTTTTTTTATGACCCTTGACCCGAGGTAATACATTTCAGTAAAAGTGGAACTGTATGTATGAATGGTTAACCTAAACTCTTAATCGCACCCTGTATGGATGTTTGTTTTCAGGAAATAACTAGACAACTTAAAAATAGGACCTTCAGATGTGTACGTTTCTCCCTATCTTTTTTGACTCATATGTCGTAACCTATTTTACATTAATAGATCAAATGAATATCAGAATTATTTGTTCTAATTATACATCTCACAGTTGACTGTGAAGTAATTTGTAGGTTTTATTCGTCACTGATTTATCTCAGTTGGGGTGTCAATGAAAACCAAGGAGTACCGGACAGCTTTCTTCTGGTACGGAACTCCTTAATAGTTCATACTCATGGCCACGCCACGAACCAAGGCCTTTAGGTCTCTAGACGAATGTTGTGATGTATTAAGTGACTTATTTAAAAGTTGTGTCCGAAATGGTGAGATTTTGGGAAAGTTTTATAAGAGATGTGTAAATGACGTTGTTTCAAACCTGTTTTAAAAGTACTCATGTCGCTTTTTTTCACATTCTTTCCATCGACACTTATGAATAAAAATAAGTAATTTTTATAATTCGTTATTCCGTAAAGTTGTTAAATCAAAGGCTTCACTAACTCCCTCTTATTTATAATCTACTTTGCCGGTTTACTATAAATATCTCTATATATATATAACTGATCTAAAGGCGTAACAACAGAAGTAAAGCGATATGTATGACAGCTATTCAGAATTGATTGAAACTTGTGTACTAAAGCGTCACGTTTTAGGACCAATAAAATATGAGATGATTATAATCATCATCTAATGCATTAATCTGTCTAATCTAGTAGAAACAGAGAGAAAACAAACTCAAGTATACACCCTCCCACCTCTATTCGATTGAAGATTATTAATATCTAATCGAAAAAAGTGTTTTTTCAATTTTTAGTTGCTTGTGTTTAGTTTCGTTGATAAAATCAATCATTGTGTTTATGTGGCAAGCATTGATCTTATGTTTCTGTTTTTTGCCTTTCTTCCAAAAATTTAAATTGTCCAGTTTGTTGACATTTTTGATTACTGTAAATTTAAGGAGAGTAATAATGGTGTAGAATCGTTTCTCGGGTATTACGTGTCAATATATTCATCGGGCAAATCGTTCACATTACTAATGTGGAGCTTTTCGTTAGTAATTCCTCAGATATATATTAGTTGTCGATTACTCTAATTGGTAAGCAGAGATGGATAGTGGCTAGCAGTGGAATCCAGGACGCGCGTTTCGTCCTATTTGGGACTCGTCAGCTGGATGTACCTGCATCTCATAGTTGATGTTCACTCTGGGACTCGAACCAAGTACCCTCGCTTCAAACGCCATCGCGTTATCCATTCGGCCACTGAGTCCTGATAGCCACTTTCTTGTGCAATAGAGTGAAGTTTGAATTCACTTAGTATTGTTTGTTTGAATCTTCCCATCGATGTGTTCAGGACTGCAACTGGTCAGTCTCTAATTGGCATGCTTGTGAATTAAGATATATCGAGGCAATACGCACAGTATGCACATATGCCAATTAGAGACTGACCAGTTTCAGTCCTAAACACATCGATGGGAAGATCCAAACATACAATACTAAGTGGATTACTCTAATTGTTTATTGAGTTTACAGTTAACATGATTTTTTTTCGCTATGGACTAACATAAATATGAAGTTTTTAGAAAACTTGCTCTCAGTCATCTTACTTTTGTTCATTTTTCATAGTCCACCCTCTCCCAAACGAAATCCGATTCAACACTTTTTGACGTACTATAATACCATAAATTGGATGCTTCACTAGTTAATTAATGTATATAAAATGGTGAAAACAAGCTCGACTCGATATAACTTCCGTATAAAAATTTAAAACTTTAGTGTCAAAATGTTAATCAGGAAAAACACATACAGGTATATTGATATATACACATGAAGAATATCTCTAAGTAGTGAACATACTTTCAGGGATGTAGTAGTATAAAAACTAATTCCCACTTAACCTTTATAATATAGAAAAAGCAGATATAAAATCTAGTTTATAGAATCTGTTATTGGAGTTAAAAGGGTTTACATTATCACCGTCACAACATTTCTAAAATTGCAATACAAACTACAGGAAAAAAGTAAAAGAAAATAAGGGGTGACATTTAAAGATATTCAAATATGTGATGTTCAAAGAATGAATTGACTCACAACTACTGTCAGCTTTCAGTCTTGTTGTTCAAAGCTCAGTATTATAAACTTCTGTTATGTCCGGAATCCTAGACAAGCAGCATACACTACCTGTGATCTGATCATTTCCGATGCTCTTCTAACAAAATCTTACGTCAACCAATAATGTGTTGAAAGTCCTCGAAAATTTCCAGAAGTCTTTAGAAACCAGGAAAAGGCTGAAAACTGTATCATTCGATCAGCTTTCAATGGGACCTTCTCAGAAACTCCTAGATAAACAACACATTGTCACACTTACTGGATCAATATCTGTTATACAAGTAAATTCACTGGTTTCCAGAAGTTTTCAAAATATCAGAAAGATCTATAAATACCCTTGTTTTCTGCATGTAAACTAAACTGAAGTCAAACTTTCCATACTTCTCACCTCTCGATCATTTGAAGCTCAAGTGTAGGAGTACTTTAGAAAAATAGGGAACAGAAAGCCTCTATCAAGCGTTCAAGCTTTAGACGTTTCACAAAACTCACTGACTTCGTCAGTAACAATGCATAACACACAAATGCTTTCTATCTCCCATTGATTAAAGATTCATAGCTCCATCAAGAAACCTAACACACATGATACCCTTTATCTAGTAATTATTACAATTAATAGCTCTTTAGTATGTATCTCAAGTAGTTTGTTATCGAAGGTGTTCATATGTAGATTACAATTTTTTGTAAAAGATAGTTACATTTCATTTCCCTGGTATTTAGTGTAAGTTTCAGTTTAATTACATCTCATTTTCATTTGATGAAGTTTATATTATCGTAAATGTTTTTTATTCTACATGATAAGCTTTTGTACTTCATAAAATACACTAAGATTAGTCGGAGAAAATTTATCTCAGTAAAATACCTTTTATTTTTCAAAACAAAATTATTTGTTATGTTGGTAACATCCATTTTTAGGTAATATTAAAAAAAAAATAATCATAGACTGCAATTCAAATTTGCTAACTTCTTGTTTGTAAAGATGAAAATTTTATTTTAAATTTAAAACAGTATTTTCTATATGAGAAAAACAATATTTTGAATCATTTCACCTCATTATCACTACAGTTTTTTTATAATTAATGCAGTGTTACATCATTTTCCTATCTTTTATTTTCTTCGGTCTTTTAAAAGAAAGTTGATGTTTACTACTTTTGACATCATCATCATGATATCTTAACGCTTCATTCTGTTTTAACATTGTTTATGATTACATTGTTTTTACAACTCTTGTGTTGTTTTGTTTGTATCCAAGGAGCAGCTGTTTTTTTTGTTTAAAAATATTTTGAATGATTTATTTTATAAGTTCAAAAAGTTGTTATTACTTGTTGAAAATTAAAAATCGTTGAAAACAAAAATAAATGCTTCTAATCAGTGTCCACATTCTTATCATCATGAATAATAATGTACATGATTATCATATTATATAATACGTTTATATATTTTTTTCATTCATGACTGTTTGTCAACTTGTAACTAAACTGAATGAATCTTTTTATTTCTCTTTTAACTTCTATACCATATTATTATAAATGTTTTGAACAGTGTAGTTCAACGTATTCGATATCGCTGTAAATGTATGTATCGTACATTATATTTCACTGTAAAGATCAGTGTAGTACCAATGATGTTGTTTAATGAGCTCACCTATTTTTCATTTGTTTTCCTTACACATTAATAAACTGAGATTAATATTATCATTACATCGTTATCAGTATTAGTTGTAGTACACTGGGTTGATTGAAAACCATCTTTTGTCGTTGTTATTATTGCTATTATTATTTTCCAAATATAGTTTCTTCCTTTTTGCTATACTTTCTCACGTCTACGCCTTCCTGTCACATGTTTTTTTTCTTTAAACAATTCAATTAAATGATGACATTGTTGATGATAACCTGCTGTGTTTTGTGCTTCACTGTTCTTTTATATTGTTATTACATTTTATGAAAACCTTGATCGATATATATATATATATATATATATATATATATATACTCCAGTTACATCTTACCTTCTTTACTGCGAATTTGTCATTTTATATCATGCCGAAATACAAAACATCAGGTACTTTCCTTTTTTACTATCTTTTTTTGCATAATTTGTTTTAATGTTGAAATTCGCATAATTCTTGAAGTCTGACTATCAGTGATTTTTTTTCAGTCTTTGTTTTGTAGTCGAACCAATAAAAAATGTTCGTTGTTAGAAATGTTGAGTTCACAAATATCTAACTTTTTTCTTAATTTTCGCACCATTTTCATTTACCTACTGTCTTCATTACATTACAGGCTCCGAGTTAGTTGATTGGTTATTCACACATGTAGATGGCTTTGCAGATCGGCGAGATGCTCGGAGGTATGCATCCAACCTACTGCATTATGGTTATATTTGTCATACCGTTAATAAGAGTACATTTTCCGAACAATGTTATTATACTTTTGGAGATATAGCCACAAGTAAGTTTCCCTGCCTGATTAAATATTCCTACTTATAAACATCTTTCAATAATTGAGTTTAATAATATTTAATTTTTTCACTTTTCTCTCCAGCGTTATCTCATCTTAATTTAGACGAAGTAGATTCAGTTTCTGAAATCGGCGCTAATTCTTCATCTCATACTGGCACTCATCCTATGATGCCTCAAATGTATCCTCACGTCCACCATGTGCTTCCTGATGCTCCTGGTAGTGGTTCAGCTACAGGTCTATCATCAGTACAAAATCAAAATGCTCCACCTAATCCTAATCTAGGTTTAATGTCATCTCCTATACCTGGCGAAGGGAATTCACTAGCTCAAACTAATTCTCATTATCCCTACCCACCTGTACTTTATCCTATTCCATCAGCAGCTCCTGTGTCTTCATCTGGTCCTTGTAATATTGATGCGAATGGAAACGACTGTAGTTTTGTTAACCCAAACTCATCTGCTCTTCCTGGTCTTAGAAATAGAATGTCAAATAACGGGTTAGTTTAAAATGACTTTTTGTTCCGTGAAGTGTTTTTTTTTTACACCAGATTATATTGTCAATTTGAAGTGTTTGATTCTTTTTATTTAAAATGTCTCAAACTATTTTATTCCTAGACTTTTCAGAAATTAAAATGTTGCGATAAAGGGTGTTAATTCTGTTTGGTTTAGTTATGCAAGTCTGTTGCCAGTTTACTTTGTGTATCTCTTAATATTCACATGTTTTTCACCTTCTGTAAATAACTTGAATTGAAATCCAAATATTTAATGGATTCATATACTTTTAGAAGTTTGTTCCCGTTTTTTTCAAACACTAGTCTGCATCCTAGTTGTTCAATTTTTACGTTTGGCAATATATTTTTCTTTTTACTTGCATTTGTTTAGTTGTTTATCTCCTCAGTAGTTCTGTTTCATCTATTATTTTTAGTCAAATGGGTGTGGATTCTGCCATGTATCCGGTAAATACCACTACCATGCCTTCTCATACACGTTCTGTTATTCTTAATCAGACACATATTACTACTATGAATGCTACATCAAATCAAAGAATACAACAGCAGAAAGTAAACAACTCTTCCTCGTCTAGTTCATCTCGTTCTTCTGCATCTTCAACATCTTCCTCTTCTACCGGTTATTCTGGTAACAGATGTCCAGCTGGTCTATCGGCTAATAGTACTACTCAAACAGTTAACATCAATGTTCCTCAAAGTATGACCACACCACTAGATACCTCGGCTTCTAAAGGCCTTCCTTCCTTTAATAAGGGTATTCAACGACGTACTGATCCATCAAGTGTACAAAGTCTTTCCGGTTAGTTTTTATTTCAAAGTTATAAGACTGAGAATTCACATGTTTATGCATGAAGCTGATGTGTTTTGCATTAACCGTGTATTTCAAATATATGTGTACACTTGAAACACCAGTTATATATAATGAATGTTCGGATCTGATTTCTGTCTGAGTTGGCTTTTTGGTTGAAAAACATACATAACAAGCCGGTTATTCTTATTCATGCAAAAATCTGTGTTAATTCTCACTGATGATAAAATTTATTTCCCAGGTTTAAACGCTCGACAAACAAAAACTCAGCTCATTCATGAAATGATTAAATATATAGCAGTATTTTAGTTGCATGCGACGATAAATTACATAATTGATTATAAATACTTAAGATTATTAACGGATAACCATAGTATATTAGTAGTTGTATTAGCGATAGCAATGTATCATCTTTCTGTGTACTAGTAAATGTATCATTGAATCAGTTCTTTTTCTGTGCCCATCTAAAGAAAAATACTATGTTTTATCGTATTGATGCTAATTATTTCATAGTATAATTAAAATGTGAATGTTTTTCCCTCTCTCTACGTGTGAGTGTATGTTAGCTACTGAGGTGTCTATAACTCTCATATATTGTTTATCATAAACCGCATGCAAAATACTTGCTTGCTTTTAATCAGTTTTTTGTAAACTCCATCACTACTACCATGATCAGACTTCTTCAATTGAATTATTTCTTTATTTATCTGTCCCAAATTACCATTTTGAATAATTTAGTAGTATAATCTCAAAATAGTTCTATCGCAGTGTTATTGTATGCTTATGCATGATTTTTGTACCCATCATTCATACATAGTTATTTCAGTGTCTTGGGGATTTGAGCACTTAATGTGCTACTATTAGGTTCCTAGTTCGAATCACATCATATATTTCATTCGCTTTGGTCAACCAGAAAGTATCACCAAGCTTGAAACATAAAAAATGAAGTTTAGCTTAAAAACTAAACGTATAAGCTTGACAACACAAAAAAACACCCATGCAGATTTGATCTCTTCTCTTTCTCGTAACTTTTGTGGTTGTACCGTTAATAATGGTTATTAATTTGTTTTAGCCTTGTAATAATAAATTTATGAATTTCAATTTAATAGAACAAGTCAAATTATTAATTATAAATGAAGCGAATGGGATACTGGTTTAATTTTGTTACATATTAAGTGATTGGTCTAAAAAATGTTCTTATCTAATATTCGATCATATCAAATGAATTATTTTTCACTAGTTAAATAAACTTTCATCTCTGTTTATACTTTTTTAACTCAAGTAATTTTTACCCGTAAACTGATAATATAAGTGTAGTGGTTGCCTAATAGGTAGTAAAGTCAATTAGCTGACCGTCAATTATTGAGTCACAGGTCTGATGAGCACACCCGATTTTTCAGCAAGTGGATGGTTTCAGTAGTCCTTATAATAAATAAAATGGTCTAAAGTCGAGCACTATAACTTTGTACTACTTGCTGAATAAGCTATAATAAACAGGTAATTAAGCATTCAGCCTGGATATCAACTTCAAGATAGTTGAAACTTAAGTAATAGCCCGCAGAACTCTTTTCTCTGCTTTGAAACATTTTGTCAATATGAATTTACAACTCCTGTTTATAGAACTTCAATGTTAGCTTTATAAATGTCTGATCACGTTTTATTTCAGTTAATGATTTTATTTTCAAGTAATGTATGCCATGAAAATATTGATTAATCTTAAATTTAATCTATTAAGATACACTGCTATTGCTGGACACAAGTGCACATTATGTCCCAATGAAATTTTAAGAAATCCTATGAAAATTATCCGAAGATTAATATCACTGATCAGCAGCACACTAATTAGTTCCACTGAGCTTATTAATTTTTAATACGAGCCAGTTTGAAAAGGAATTTTTAATTCATTTACAGTGGAGCGGCAACTTATTGGTTATAGCACATGTTTTTCAACAAGTAGGTCGAAAAGTTCGAACCCTGTTCCAGTTATTTCGGTTTGACCAACGTGGAGTGTATCGTTATCTGTCATACAAATAAAATGTTACCCCACTGCTCAATAAATAAAATCTTCACACAACACATGGATTAATCAATCCACGAAAAGAAAAATAAAGATTTTTCTTTTCTATCCTTAATAATATACATGACAATTGTGTAGTTCATATTAAAACTTATCCATTCATTAATTGATTTACTCACTAATCTTTTTCAATTTTTGTTCTCTCATTTCTTTTTTTATTTTACCTCGTCAAAACAACAACAAAATATGGACTACTTTCTAAATGGGTGTACAAAATGTGATATTATACACATATGCGTGTATGTTTGTATGCTTGCACCGCTTGCTTGTGTTTATCAATACAACTTTTTGGTTTTATTTCTTTGTGATTAATGGTCTCCTGATTTGTTTGGATATCATGATATTCTTGCTTTTACTATTTATCTTCGATTTGGATTATTATTATGTTTATTACGAATATAATTACTACCTGTATTGTATTGTATATGCACATATGTGTATATATTCATGTTTTTACATCATTATTGTTGTTTAATACCTTAATTCTAAGTCCCGGTTACTCTCGTTATGTAATAATGATAATACTAATGATAAATTGTATTTATCCTAACACTAATTGATTGTTTAAACCCTGAATCGTAATTATCATTTTCGTGGATAATCATGTGTTAACTGTTGTGTACATTGAACACAATGAATCTGGGAATCCTTCATCTCAAAATCAACTTAATCAAATTTTGTTGGAAATGCAATATACCTATTCATTGACTTTCAATATATATGTATATATGTGTGTGTTTAGTCTCATCTCATCCATGTTTCTGTATGCCATTCATCCGAAAAACTCTTAATTCATCATCGCATGCTAATAATAATAATGATATTAATAATGCATGTAAAAAACTAGATACGCAACAGAAGCAACAACAAGAAGAACAGCAACCATATCAAACTAAAAATGTTGGGCATGATCACCATTCTGATCTGCATGAACAAGATTCCGCAAAAAACTCATTAATATTGTTGTCCGATGAGAATGTCAATAATAATAAGATAGTTGATAATAAATCATCAGTTGTCATTACTAATACTACAATATCGACTACTCCTACAAATGGTAACCGACGTAATTCATACTCAGTGAAATCATTAAACCAACAAATAACGAATAATGTTATTGATAATGACAGCACAACAACACTAACAATAACAGCTACTAATGATAGTTACAATAATAATAAAGAAATAGATCATAATGACAGTGATAATAATAATACTCAACTATTTCTGTTGACAAAACGTGACAGTATCATTAATGATGATTTCAGTACCGAACATGTATCATTCATGGAAGATAAAATACATGAATCAGGTTTGATATCGTGCATATATATAAGTATACAGTATTATAGATTGTTACTACTAATTCAGTTATACTATTTGACTAGCTTTAGGGTGTATTTGGTCTATTTTGTACTATAGATAAATAATCTTAAACAATAAGCAATTATAATGCACACTCATTATGTAGTCACTTATTATTATTATTATTATTATTATTATTATTATTATTGTCTAGTTCTTACGCACGATAAACCAAGTATCCTTTTTGGTTATTTCTTCACACATCAAATACAATAATTTTTGATTCATTAAGTTAATGGTAATTTACTGTACTTTTCTTTTAACAGCTCATAGTTTACGCTAGAAGGCATCATTTATTTGTGTTTCCCCTACCAAATACAATCATAGTTCCACGTATGATATATACATATATATACGTGTTTTTCCTATGTGTGATATGTTTAACCGTTTACTTTAATTGGATACTTCTACGCTTTTAACACGTTTATTTCATTACTTTCAATCTTAGGCACAAGCAGTACTAGTTCTGCGAGTCGCCAAAATGGAACTGGAGCAAGTGCTGCTGGGAGTGGTAGCGGCAGTGCCGTAACTTCACATGTACTCAAAAAATTTAACACGAATAACAATAGCCATAATAATAACAGTTTGACGAATAGATCCGAATGTCTTGACAATGTTCAACGTACACAGCATAGTATGGATTTTACCAATGCATTTCGTCAAACTAATTGCAATTTAGTCAAAGAGTCAAACAATAAACCGGAAATCAATCAGTCATTTAATCATACAATGACAACTGGTGGAATTCCCAATAATCAGAGATGATGTAGTCTATGTGTTCATTCATTCATATACATAAACTGACAGATAACTCTTTCTATAAATTGGTAATTATTTTGTTCTATTTATTTATTATATAATACTTATTTACTACGTTTGTTTATGCACCACCTAGAATACATTAGTTTCATGTGGATTTCAAATAATATTATTTGTGTTAATTTACCATTTATATGCATAAAATTTCCCGGAATTCTATCATCCATAAATGAACTTGACAATCATAAGTATTCTGTTGAAAGAGGACAATAAAATATGGATTAACACAGTCCAGTGATTTATGTATGTACAGAATTCGGTTTTAAAAAATATTGAAAGTGATTGGAAATCCTCAACGATGACAATAAATTTGATAGATCTTGAAGTATTAATTTGCAAGTCCGAATCCTGCTTCCACCGGAAGATCGACTAGTTGGGTAATGTCATTAGTAATAGCATCAGGAATATAGCTCAAAGCTGACCTCATGGGGTTCTGTAATTTGTTAGTGGGGTATGTAAGTATGGTGAAAGATTACTGGTTATGTTTTACTTTTATATCCCGATTTTTTGTCACTTACTGATAAATCTCAACTAATATAAAACTTGAATTACTTGCTTACTTACATCTGTTACCCCTCATGGAAGAGCATAGGCCACTCACCAGCATTCTCCACCCACATCTGTTCTGGGCAATCCTTTCCAGGTGTTATTGATCCTTTTCATGTCTGCTTCCGATTTCCGACGTAGTATGTTCTTCGGCCCTCCCATTTCCTGTTTCACTTCAAGATTTCGAGTTAGCACTTGCCTTGTGATGCAGTTTGATGATTGCCCCAATATGTGTCCTATCCACCTCCAGCGTTTTTTCCTAATTTCCTCCTCAGCTAAAAGCTGGTTTGTTCTCTGCCACAATAAGCTATTGCTGATGGTATCCAGCCAACGAACATTGAGTATCTTGCTTAGACAATTGTTTATAAATACTCGTAATGTTTTGATGATGGTTGTGGTAATTCTCCAAGTTTCAGCTTCGTACAACAGAACTAATTGTCTTGAAGTTCTTAATGAAGATTCTGACATTGATGTTGGTTGAGAGTTGTTTTGAGTTCCATGTGTTCTTCAACTGTAGAAATGCTATTCTTGCTTTCTTGTTCATTGAGAATGCTTCCCAGGTACGTGAAAGATTCTACAGCTTCTTGATCAAATGCGATTGTGTTGGTGTTCTCTGTGTTGTATTTGAGGCTCTTGGTTTTTCTTTTGTGTATGTTGAGGCCTACTGATGCAGAGGCTTCTGCTACATTAGTTGTCTCCGTCTGAATTTTCCGTGTGTATGAGATGGAAGGGTCAGGTCGACTGTAAAGTCCAAATCTTCTAAGTGACTCAGGACAGTCCATTGTATTCCGTATTTCTCCTCAGGTGTCGAGGTCTTCATAAACCAGTCAATCAGAAGAGGAAGGGTAGTATTCAGCAGCCTTGTCTGGTTTCGGTTCTCACTTGGAATGGGTCTGTCAATTGTCCTGCATACACGACTGTGCACTGTATTTCGTCGTATGAATTCGGGATGATGTTGACGATTCTCTCAAGTATACCATAGTGTCAAAGAAGGTTCCATAATGTTCTCCTATCCACACTGTCAAATGCCTTATCATAATCATTGAAATTGATGTGTGGTGACAGGTTCCACTCAACTGATTGTTCGATGATGATCCGTAATATCGCGATTCGGTGTATGCACGATGTATCCTTACAGAATCAGGTTTGTTGATCTGTAAGTTGGACATCTACTGTGTCTTTCATCCGGTCCAACAACACTCTGTTGTAAACCCTCCCTGAAACCGATAGTAGTGTGATGCCTGTGTAGTTTTCACATTTGCTCAAATTTCCTTTCTTTGGTATCTTGATGAAGTATCGTTTTTTCCAGTTCGTTGGCGCTTGTTCTTCCTCCCAAATCGTCTTGAATAAAACGTGGAGCATGTTTGCAGTTGATTCTGTGTCTGAATTCAGTGCTTCAGCTGCTATGCTGTCAAGTCCTCCTGCTTTCTCACTCTTGCTTTGTCTGATTCTCATTATGATTCCTTCGACCGTTAGCGGATTGACAGCTATAGAAGTGTCTATGTGTGTTGGTTTGATGTCTAGTGGATTCAATTCATCTGGCCTATTCGATAGTTAGTCAAAGTTCTCGAATCTCAGTGACTGTCTTGTCTCCTTTGCTGTTGATTGGTCTCTCTCGTTTACTACTTTCCCCTTTAAGTTTCTTCTTTGTGTTATATAGTTGTCTCATATTTCCCTCTCTTGCATCTTTTTCGTCTCTCATTTCTAGGTGTTCCACGTATTTCTGCATGTTGGCTGTAAACCTCTTAGTCACTTGCATGTTTGCTCCGGTGTATTTAGCTTGTGCTTTGACTTGCTCCGCTCTTGTTCGGCTGTTGTTAATTGGTGCATTCTTATTCTTCGGTTCTTGAATCTTGTGCGGGGTTTCGACAGAGATCCATTCCTTATGATGATGCTTCTTGAAACACAGAACCTCCAGACGCGTTGAAGTTAGTGCTTCTTTGATCCCTTTTCAGTTGTTCATCATAGAAATTTCTTCTTTGAGTTGATCTTTTAAGGCCTGAAACTTGTTGAGAGTTATCTTGAATTGGTTGAGTTAGTCAGTATGTCGAAGTAAGGTTGTACTGAACCTTTGTAATTCTGTTTCCCCAGCTGTCCAGTGTTTCTTTAGCTTAAGTTTCATCTTGGCAACCAGCAGATGGTGATCTGAATCTATGTCAGCTCCTCTTCTGGTTCTCACGTCTTCTAGTAACGTTGTAAATTTTTTATCCATAAAGACATGATCTATCTGGTTCACTGTAGTGTGGTCCGGTGAAACCCATGTATCTCTGTGTAGGAATATTGTGACATCCACGACCAGTTTGTTGAATTAAAATAGGCTTACAAATCTCTCCCATTTTCGTTTCTCTCTCCCAGTCCATGTCATCTCATGATATCTCCATACCCGGTGTTGTGCATTCCCACTTTGGCATTTAGACCATCAACCAGGATGGTCAGGTCTTTTCCTGGTCACTTGCCATGATCGATTGCAACCTCTCATAGAACTGATCTTTATCGTCGTCATTGCTATCATGTGTAGGTACATTACATTGGTTCACATTCATTGTGATTCCCTCCTTCTTTGTTTTGAATGATGCTTTGATGATCCTTGGTCTTAGAGATTCTCATCCTATAAGTTCATTACATGCTTCTCTGAGTGGCATCAGAGCGATTCCATGAGTGTGCGAAGCATTTACCTCTTCCTCACCATTAGTTTAGGGTTTCATATTGACTATTTCCAACCAGCTAACCTATTGTATACAAACCGTTACTATTACTATCATTTTTACCACCATATTTATTATTAAGATTATAAAATCCAGCTTTACTATGGATTTTTTTAATATTTATAATTCAGAGTAATTTTCTTTATTGTTTTTTTCCTGTTCATCATAGCTAATTAATGGCATAATCATTTGTGGATCTGTTTAATTTTCTTCTGTCTAAAAATCCGACAAAGAATAAAATGTTACAGTGGAAAAGACATTCATCCTAATATTTTCAAACGATTTACTTTTTTCAGTAAAGTATATATAAATTATGTAACAAGATGACAATACATATATATATATATATATATATATATATATATATATATATAAATATACATATGTCCGTATGTATTATTCTTCACACTTTCACCCGGTCTTTCTTTACATAATATTGTTTTGAGTTTTTTTTGTTATGTATCCGCTATTTTTCTCTCACATTCACTTATCTGTTTCACTTCTATAGTAACTTTTCTCATGTCACAAGTGTAAACTTTATTTACTCATAGTGTGTACGCTAACCTATTCAGCATATACGGAGAGTTGTCTATGCTTTGTCGTTGATGTGAATATTGTTTTCAATGGAAATTGTTTACGTTATACGAGATCCATTCACAATTTTTAATTTCAAACGATTAATTTGCTTTACTATATTGTCCCTCTTCCAGCGTTTCTCTAGGCTGCACCTTATTATATCAGTTTTAACCGCATATGAAAAGCATGTAATGGAATCTATCTTATTTTAATTTTCTTTGTTATCTGAAAATTAGAGAAAACTTACCGTGTTCACATATTTTTAGTCCGACGTTGCGTTCTGTTTTTCCCCTGTGGAGATATTCATGGTTACTATGACTTATTAAATCTAATGACTAATTTTTGCTTTGAAAGGAAACAGTTACGTAGCAAATTCATTACGTGTTCATCGTAAAATAGCATTTTCTTCCTCTTTAATCACTGATATATGAACATAAAAGACAATTTGCTATGATATAAATCTATTTGTCTTTTTACTTGATGTGTGATATAAACATTAATTTCATTTCCTAAAGCGCCCCGTTCTCGTTTATGTAATCATATATTTTATTCTGTTCCCTTTCCTTTCTTCCTCCCTATCCATGTATAATCTGTTTATCGTTTTTTGATTTCACTTTCCCCCCCCCTATTTTTTCCTGTTTTTGAATTTATAACTTCAGAAAACATTGATTCTATACATAGAGTGTGATTTTTCGATCTTAATTAATCCAGAGTGTATTTCGCTATCTTAATTTTCAATTGAATCTTCTTTTTCCGTTCTGTCAGTACAGGAAATAATTTAATTTTGTTCTTTTTTGTTTTCTCTTGTTGTTTTATGATTTATTCACTTTTAATACAAATCTATCTGAGTTTTCTCAAATAGATATTTTGCTCTGAACTATTATATTTACATGCATATGATTAAGTAGTTTGATTCATCATATTTAGTTCCTTCTCATTTTGTTCTTCAGTCCATCTTTTGCTAGTTATATTCAAAACGTTAAGATGTTTGTTGTCCTGTCTTTATCTGCTCACATTTTGTTTTTCTTTTCACAAAATATTTGTCAATCTAGGAAATACGCTCTTTTTTCCTCAACTACAAAAAGAAATACATTTTTGTGGAAAAAGACTACTTTAAATAAATGACCGAAAATGTCTTTTTTTGTATTATCATCATAGAAATTATCATCCATATTGCTATTATAATAATTGTGGTAATGTTTAATTATACTTGTATAATTGAAATCAGTTGAACAAAAGGAGTCTAAAGTTATGTAAGTTTATTTTGAATAGTGTTGGTGCTACCATTTTTTTATCACTGTTATTCGACAAATCATGCTGTTATACGTAATAGTATCGGTGGTACTAATAATGTTTAAGCACAGAGAATATAATCCGAGAAGATAAAATTTGTATAATGGAAAAGTATAAGATAATCTTAAGATCTAAGGGAGGAAATAAAGTACACGAGTCTTTGCGTTATGGCCGATTTTTAATTATATCACCCATCTTTTCCAACTATTTGTTGCGATTATCTTAAGTACTCTGACCAGATAGTTTACACCTACTACCATAGATCCATCCATCAGATAATTATTTCATGTACTGATACTATGAGCTCAAGACCAGTAGTGCTTGAGTAGAGGGAGCATAAGGTTTATTCATTTTTTTGATACGTTTTCTGTCGGCAGTATTTATTGTGGTCAGTGGACTCAACAACTCTCACCCTTGCAACACATGATGGAGGTTGAAAATTCAACGTTTATAACGGGTTCCCTACTACCCTTTAATTTATGGTTGTACACAAGTTTACCATAACCTATTCGTCATAATAGTAACCAAAATTTTATCAACTACTGGTACCCATGTTATTAAGCTTCGATGATCATTACTCATAGCTCGTTAATCTTTCTGAAAGCTGTTTAAACATGTTTTTCCCAATCGGTCATGACTTTTTGAATACTAGGTCTCTCATCGGAAATTTCAGTAATATGTTTTGAACTGACTTGCTCATAACAATGGGCGGAATTTTTCTCGTTAACTCACTATTAATAGTTGGTTATCTAGTCCGTCAGATGAGCAGATATTATTCCTAAAGTAAGCTGTTCGGCCAAACTATTTCATACTCCAACCAATTCATGCTTCTTTGTTTGATATCTCGTAAGGTTGGAACAACTTTCAGCGGGGCCAGTTTCTGTTTCTATCTGTTTGCGGTCAACATATTTTCCTACTCCATGTCTAAATATAATTTGACGTAAAACAATCACCAAACTACAGACTCATTCAATTTAGATTTATACACTATTATACTATGGACAGTGATATCATCTAAAAGTACCTAAACCAAAGTATGTGATTTTGATGGAGCTACAAATCTTCTCAAGGTATGTGAACATGGTACCCATTTATCTAAACTAAAACGTTTCAACAATCGTTCCTTGTACCAACTTTTCACTTGAAAAGGTGAATAAATAATGCTTTAGTTGTCCACCTGAATCAATAGATACCTGTTGAGAAATAATCCAAGTAACTAATTTGAAACAAATAGTAGAGTGATGAAATTTACTTCGAAATCACAGCATTCAATCGAATGTAATTAACGACTAATATTCTACTACGTGAATAAAGTGAACGCTTTGTGTAATTTCTAGAAAATCCTGTCAACAACTGTGGCTCTTGGATGAAAAAAATGTTACACAAGCTAGCAAAAAATGAATTAGTTGAAAAATATTTGACTTCCTGCCCAAGTCACGAATCTTAACAAGATGTGTTAATATTCTATATGCGTTAATCAGATAACATTTTCCTAGGTAGCTTGACGTTCACAAAAATCGATTCATAATTTTTTGGGAAACATATTGCTCTATGCATATATATATAACCGAACTACACCAATGACCCCTCAAAAGTCACGCTAATGCTATTCACTGTCGATGACTTCTCAATTTTCATCTTTCATTTACCTCGTATGAATCTCAGAACTCAAACTGAACTTTCTATGTTAAACTCCAATTTCCATCATTATTACACTCTCCACTTATTATTATCATTTCGATAGAGTGATTGAAATTGAAGCACTTTATCAATTAATTCCTTTTCCATTTCAAAATATTTATGTTCACTTCACGAAAGTAAAGCAAATTAAACTGGTTCACACATTGTGATTTAATTTCCTTTTCAAAACTACTGGCAAAATAATTAGTCGATGAACGATTCATATTGATACATCATAGTGTGAATGAAATATTTTCAGTAGTACACTCCCACCGCTAATACTCCTACTACTACTACTTCAATTACTAATGTTACCACTACTACTACCAATATTATTACTGTTTACGACTTAATTTGTCGAAATCAATGTGTGATATAACTTCATGTTGAATGGATTTGAGCGGAATTACACGGCGAGAGTTCTTAACTGATGGAACACATTAATATCTCCACGGTCATTATCATCAACACCATAAACTTCGAAATGTATTCTAATTATCACGACAGGTGAATACATGTATGAATCACTTAATGTAATTTAATATATACTACTCATATTTATTTTTGATGGTTTAACTCACTGCTTAATAATCCTAAACCAGAATCAGGTAACTATTAGTGTTCCTACAGTTGACACTAGTTGGTAATAAGAATAATTTTGAATATTATTACATTTTTCACTTTTCTCTAAGTGAATTGTCATCCACCTGAAATGAATTCTTTTAGAATATGATCATTAGGTTATATGATTCGGTGAGGCATTAGATGTTATGAAATAGCTGGCAGATGTTACTTCATTTACCAATGAAAGACTCACATATTATCAATAAACCATCAGTTGATGATAAATTATGTGATATTAACAAACTCCTAATATCATTTGGATTGTAACGAATTATTATAAATTGTGGATTGAGTAATAAGGAGAACGTCAGTATCTTCAAAGATGTTGGTGATTAAGACACACTAAACATATATCAGACAGAACTCCTTGTTGAATTCGCTTAACTGTGAAACATCAAACAAGGATTGTGAGATGGACAGACCGATACATTTTATGATTAGATTGAATATACGTTGAGTAGAATTTAATCAACACTGAGGTATGTAACGCAAGGAACTATTCACAATGTCTTACTTTCGTATAGATGTATTGCAACGGTACATTTGTCCAATACAATAGCGTTTTAACTGGAGTAGCTAAACTGATAATCCTATCTCTGAATGCGTTTACAAATTCTAACGAACCATTAGTCAACTAACTGATCAAATTATAATTTTAGATAACTAAAGATGTTATTAATAATATGAATAACAAAAAACATGACTGAGTATCTTATTAGATGATGAATTATTATTTGAAATAAAATGAAGGTCGGAAAGTGAATTCAACATTATTTTGCACGTCCTCGTCATATCAAAAAGATGAGCACTATAAATGTATTATTGATTCCTAGGTGACGATCTTATTTTTCAGCCGAATCATAGTTTTCTGATTGTGTTTATCATTAGTGAATAAAGTCCACATCGAATATATTCAACAGTGACACATTAGTTCAGCAACTGAATAGTGTTATTAATGTATGGTATGTTTTATTGATCACAACAATCTCCTTTCTGAATAAAAATAGAAAAATCCCGTCTGCTTTAGAAATA